TATAAATCATTATTGAAAGAATATTTTGGAAGTTGCTTTTCAGCCATGAGCACACAAACATTTTGCCGTAGACCATGGACGTTCCAATAATACTTGGCATCGGTCTCGGTCTCAAAATGCTCGTGTGAACCAAGAATGGTCAAAAATTCACAGTCCTTACTTCATTTCGTGCACATAATGGCTTTCGAATTCGTCAGATGCTAATCCGATAGACTATTCCATCTGAGCCATTTTGGAGATTAATGTGGGTACTAAAAAATATGCCAGTATGGATACGCTGAAGAAAGCCATTGTTTAGGAATGGGTCAAAATACTAGAAGATCACATTTGTGAAGCATGCAACTCAATTTTTTACCGTTTGATGGGCATAAACAGGGTAAAAGCGAAAGGTGGCCACATCGAGTTAGGGTGAATGTATTCCGAAATTTTGATTATTTCCACAAACGATATGTTGATAATTGTTTTGTCCTCAACCGATTGGAGTATATATATGTGCCGTAGAAGTTGTTTAATTTATTTAGCTATTATATTATATTTGTAAGAAGCATCAAATTTGGCCTTCAATCACAATTTTAGAAAATATTTAATTCCGTTTTATATATGCTTCACTTTCATAATTTTTAGTGTATTATCCGCAGTCGTTCCACAGAATTAAATCGTTGCGTGTTTGTTTATTTAACTTAACGGATAAGAGCCATCTGTGTAAATATCTGTATAAATCTGTCTTTATAAACATTTGTTTATTCCAGACTTGAGTCAACTTCTAACATTATATTCGATATAGTTTTGATCAGTCTAGTCAGCAGTTATATTATTTCTTTTTATTGGCAATTTTAGAGTAAAACCATAATTCTGATGAGTTCTCATAACATTTCCTATTTGCTTTATTTACTTTAGGTAATATGATTATGCATTAAACAGACTCAGCTCATATTAAATTAAGTGTTTATTTTTATTTATCAGCATTGATTGTATTCTATAAATTCATTAAACTTTTCTAAATTCATGGTAAAGCAATTTACAGCAGTAATATTATATTTACTATACCAACAGTGTTTTACACATGTGTCAGCTGTTTTCATTGAAGTAAACTATCTTAAAATAAAAAATTGAAAATAATATCTTTGAATCTTAATTTAAAACTTATTCTATCCCATTCGTTGACTTAAAGTATTTTTCTAAGTTCAACTTTCTCTATGAATAATTGTATTGAATTTTATATTACAGAACTTTATTTTTCCATCTGATACGACAATCCTACTAAAGTATTTCTTTCGTTTATGCATCACTGCCGGGTAAATGGTTTTTGAAGACATATTCTCTATCTTGCAAAATGTACAAATTTTATAAAAATAAGTTCCCAGTTTTTTAACGTGATAGCTTAATCTGTCAGAACTGTAACCTGTCCTGTATTGATTCGTGAACTATTCTTCTTTACTTGCATACAATTTTTAAACGGCTTTAGCTTAAAGCCATTTCAATAGCTTGGTAGTATATCGCAAATAAAATTTTCTTTATATCTCATATACGTTCCAAATAAGTGAAAAAAATTATCTTCTCGTAAACCACAGAATGCGACCGGGTCTACAAATATCGAACCTATTTATGCCAAGTTTTTCGAAAACTTTGTTACAATAAATTTCAGTGTACCTCGGATCCCATAGGATCCATATTCATATTTTGGACAAAACCAGCTCCAGAGTAATAATCCTGATGTTATTTGATGAGATTTGAGTACCTTTATTGCTGCTTGTTTATCAATAGGATAGTTATTTTATGGTTCTGGTAGTTGCATTTAAGTTTAAAGTATTTACACTTATCTATTGCATAAATTTCTGCTTTATAAAAAGTTTTATTTTTAGCAATCGGTACCAAATATTTCAATCTCAGCCCATTAACACCTACTCCAGGTATGTTTATATAGTAGGTTTTATAAGAACCATCGTAACTATTTTTATTCCTCAGTTAAGTTTCAAAACTAAAACTGGCTTAGTTTCGAAGCATTCCAATATTAAGAAGTTTCTTGGCTAGGGTATCAAATTTCTTGCGATTAAGACTACTGCTCAAATCTTAGTTATTATCTTCATCATCATCATTATTTTGATAATCTATTGTATAGATGATCAAGTTTGGTCACTCATAGAATGATCGTCTTCGCTTAATGTTCAATATAAATACAAAAAGGTGCGAATTCTACGTGGACCTCAATGGATGCCGCCATAAACGTTCGCATGAATTTTAACGTCAATATAACGGTAGTAACTATTTCACTAAATATAATCTATTGTGTTTTTAATAGAGAAGTTTCTAACAGTAGTGAATCACAACTACAATATAAATCATTATTTTTGAATTAATTGAATTTTTGACTGACCATAGAGTTTTTTCGAGCATTCCCAAATATCCATCAACAGAGATCTTAGAATTATTTCTTATATTTAATTAGTCGTAAATAATTTTTTTTAACCCTTACCAATGGTTGAACTCATGTCCTGCCAAACTTAAAGCTTAGAGTCAGTGTTTATTAGCCAACTTACCCAAAGCCGTACTTGGCTTATGTGTTTGAACTTGAAGTGTTTTTGTTAGTGGATTTGAAGATAACGAGAAAGCCGATGAACAAGCCAGAGAAGTTTCGTTCGCATATTATATTGGGCCAAAACCATTTTGCGGTCCTTCATGGAGCTTTTTCAAATTTAAAATTAAAAAATGGTTGGAAAGAGTAGCTCAAATAATGTAATTGAAATAACTGAAATTGAAATAATGTGATTGCAATTTTAGACAAATTGCAGTAATTACAATTGCATACAAATTGCAGTAATTGCAGACAAGCTAAAGAATTCATGCCGAATCGATCAAAAGCCAGAATTAGAGAGCTTCTAATGCTGAACAGAAAAGGCATCCGACTTGTCACACGGTTTCTCACGGGACATTGCGAAATCAAACGAATCTAGGTATTACAAAAGATGATTGCTGCTGCAGAAGAGGAAATAGCAGAGTATTTTCTGTGTCACTGTGATAGTCTCGCCAGAATCAGACTCCGGTACTTATCAATTGCCTGTTCACTTATAACGGAATTAGCCAACATCTCTCAAAAGGACATGACATTTTTTACTGCTACTCGTCTATGGAACTAAAGTGGGTTTATCACAATAATCTTCAAACGATACCGTGGGCTTGTCAAAATAATCTTCAAATGTTACAGTGATGTGGTGACAATTACCCCAAACTTTTCAATATTTATCAATCTAAATAAATTATGTTTCTGTATACCTATTTGTTAATATGACTGAAACAACTTCATTTTCAGTTTCAAAAATCAAAGAAATACTTATTAGCAAAAAAAATTGTTAAATTATATAATTTTGAAATATGTAATTTAAAAAGAAAATGATATGGAAGGTAATTATGGAAGGATTCTCTATTTACCTCACACTGTTCCAATAATTTTGTACTTTAAAGTACTATTGAAGGTGTTTAATCATGTGAACTGTTTAAAATGATTTTAATGAATATATATGAACTCAATTTAGAAATTTTCCTGGATTTCTTGTTTAATTTCTGGAAAAAACCACTTAAAATTTTAAATTAAATTCAGCAATAAACTTAGGAAGAAAATTGCTCTTTCTATAATTAAAGCTTTTGTTATTTCTTCTACTTATTCGAGATATCCTCATGAAAATTAAATTGAAATGACTGCTAAAGTTTATAAATATTTTTGCCTTATATTTACAAAAATATAAAATCCTTAAATGGTTTTTTGTGTGTCCTTAAGAAAATTTCAGCAAAACTTTTGCATAATTAAAATTGAGCACCACAAAAACAAGAAAATAGAAGTGAAGATGAAGACAAGAAAAAGGGAAGAAGAAGGGAAAAAGTGAAGAAGAAGACATTAACACAAACAACAAAAACTAAAGTCATTAAATAAATCTGCACGATGTGCAAAAAATATACGAAAATAGCAAAAATATCGACTTAGTAGACTTCACCCATATCCTGCAAATAGGACGAAGTTAAGTGGGTGAAAATAAAAACAATAATAAGATCAATGAATGTAATTTTTTGTTTCCAGTCGACTACGAAAACAAAGTGTAAATGAAACTAAAAACAATCAAAAAAAGGAAATAAAATAAAAAATAGAATTTTTTTATGCCGCACTTTTCGCAACTAAAGTATCCTTTTTTTTTTTGTGTGTGTTGGCTATTGTCAATTTTGTTTCTCAAATAAAATTTTATACTATGAAGCAGCATTTTAGGCGACAACCTAAATTAAACAACGCAAACAAAAATAAACAAAAAATAATTACAACGCCAGCCGAAACAACTTTTGCCAATGTGCCAAAAAGCTAAAGAAGAGACACAACAATCACAAAACTTTTTGGTTAAATTTTTAAAGTTGGGTCACATTTCCGGTAACTTAATTCAAAATGCTCCAAACAACAACAACAACAGCAACAACAAGAACAATAATAACAATAGTAACAAGAACGACCTGTGAATACCCTTTCTGTAAATTGTTTAAGGAAAAGTTTCTTTTGTATTACATTGTTATAGATATTTTTGCAACTAAGTATACACTCAAGTATATATATATATAGATATATATAATTCCATGTACATATAAAATGGTTTAAATTTGTATATATATTTATATATCTATATCTGTGTATATCTATTTGTATTTTCTTAGTTGAAACTTTAGTCGTAAGTTGTAAGGATAATGAATGCTTTGTAGTTTGGTAGCTGTTTGAAACGTCATTGTGTTGACATTAAAACTGTCAAAATATAAAAATAAAAAATAAAGTTTGCAGGCATTTATTACACTTTGATTGTATTTAATGTTTATTGGTGTAATAAAGGATAAAACTGGTCATGAGGGTACCAAATTTTCTCTGAAATTAAGTATTAAGTAGCATAAGACATAATGTCAATTTACTTACATTACATTTGCACTGCCGATAACCGACAACATTCATTTGTTTTTACCGTTTGTTTTCATTTTAGGTATCCTGGATACGTAAAAGGGATTTGCACATACTTACGGCAGGCTCAACTACTTATACTTCGGATCAAAGATTTCAGGTTTGTAAAGGCTTAAAATGACATTTTAATGAATTTTAATATTAGTATGGTTTACGAGTTAAATTAATTACAGAAATTTTAACAAAATTTTTACCACAAGAATTTTAAAGTTCAAATAATTTTTATTAAACTTTATTAAATCAAAAATTGAATAAAAAATAAATTATATTATTAAAATAAATAGAAATTGTAGTACCATAAATCTGGCCACTAATAAATAAATAAAAACTAAATAACTATAAGTATTATAGGCTTCCAGATTACTGCCAGAAGTGACTGTCATAAAGGAAGCTATAGCTTGTCTAGAAGTAGGTAATATACTTGATAGAAATATATATATACTATCAGATTGTTAAGCTACTTTAAAGTGCTTGAGTTCATTCCAATTAACATCTAGGATAGTATTTGACTGCTACACATATTTAAATGAGTTGTCGACGCAGTTCAATATTTTTGTAATCTGAATTCCCGGTCATAGGTCATATTTTCGAAAACTGCAAATTAGATGAGCTAACCAGATGGGGTGCTTCAGGAAACCACTCTTAACACCTAAACAAACTGGGCATATCCTTGACATCATGCATATTAGTATTGAGTTGTTCCTGTACTCAACTTTTTAATAAAAGATGGGAAGACTCTACAACATGCAGGCATCTGTAAGCAATATGACCACATATCAATAGAAGAAAATCGAACTCTCTTATAGATATGCTCCGTAGAGATATCAGTCTTGTAGTAGGTTTACTAACATGTCATTGTATTCTTAGTAACCATGCTAGGAGACTAAATCTCTCTTTCAACCATATATGCCGCAGTTGTGGTGTGAATGATGAAAGTGCCTGCTTTACTTCTGTCCGGCACATTCGCGATGCCGCCTTAACATTTTAGGGGCTTTCTTTTTTGAGTATCTTGACGAACTTCGAGACCTCCTTTTAAATAGCATCATAGGCCTTATCAAAGGTTCAAGATGTTTTTAGCCATTGGGTTTTTAAAAATACGATAGCACAATGGGCCTATGCATCTAAGTGGATCTCCCTGGGATCGCCGGTATAACCTAATTTAACCTAAATAAATATAATAAAATTAAGTTTATATCTCTTCTCTTAAGCAAAAGAACAGATAAAAACATTTGTCGAAAAAACTTCGAAACGTCGGATTTACTTATATAGAGGACTTTATAAAAGTAAAAATAAACACTAAAAAAAATAGAATATTGTAATCTAATATAAAACACTTATTCACCACATCTGGTAATAAGCTAGATGTAGTAAATAATCAAATAAGATGTATTTATTGATATTAAAACGCCACACATATGACTCTGGGCTTTTAACTTTGTTAGTTGAAAATCTAGTAGACGGAGTTATAGTTGTATTCAAAATCACGTGTCCGCCCTGGATTAGCGCAAGGCATTCTGACAGCACATGTGTTGCTGACTCCTTATTCTCTTCGCAGAATCTATAGTTTGCATCCATATATATACCCAGTCTCGTTAGGTAGTATTTTAGTTTACAGTGCTTTGTTAGGATTTCTATAACGCTTTTAAGTTTTCCTTTTGATACGTTCATACAATCCTGGTATCTCCTATTGTTAAAGGTATCAATAAGTGATTTGGATTGTGTTAATCCTGGTATATTATCCTAGTAATCCAATTTGTTCTCGTTCTCCTTTATTTTTACCAGTGAAAGGAGGGTACTGTATCCTAATTCATATAAAGGTTACGGTAGTTTGTCTGCGTATTCGTTGCCGCGTACTTCAGTTTGTCCCGGTACCCAGAGATCGGTTAATATAATGGTAAATAAAATATTTTTGAATATCAGTGTGTTAACGTTTTGAATATATGTTAATAATTAAAAATAAAAATATGAAGATATATAATATATATATCTACAAATAGGTATTTAAATATCTAAATTTTAAATAAATTTGATTTTCTTCTTTTATTGGTGAAATGCGAGTTAATGTCAAAATCACTTACTAGTGTGTATGACCACTACATCGAAATATGAGTATTTATTTATTATTACATGATAATAAAAAATAGTTCAAGAGGTCACATATTATTTTTAAAAGATATTCAATTAATTTAAACTTACTAAGTATTTTCAAATCTATTTTTAATTATCATATCTTCTAATCGTATAAGAACAAATGAAGCAAATTATGGACAAAGTAAGCAGACTAAGATCAGACGCACTTCTGGCAGAAGAACCAATAAGGATTTCAATAATTAATATCAAAAAACATATTCAAAACTACTTTCTACTTTTATAGAATAAAATTCGAAATGTTAAAATTTAAAAAAGTCCAACATAATAAGGTTCACCTATTATTTTTTTAGAGCAAAGTTTTTTCTTAATAGGGCTAGGATCATGGTAACACATCAAGTGATAAAGATCACTGATAAGTAAGCAACTATTCTGAGAAATAAAGTGTCTAATTTAGTGTAACTGTAAAAGTTCCACCGATAAGGGTAAGGAAGTGACAGCTGAATAAATTCTAAGCAAATTGCCATTATCTATATGTGGGTGTAATACAGAATGGATGCAGAGAAGAAGATTATTACAGAAGAATATAGTTGTGAAGTATTACTGCTACGAAATTCATTAATAAAATCATTATAAAATTAAAATATAAAATTTTTTTCCCTTCGTTGGAGAAGTTAATAAGTACATATTGACAAACTCTTATCAGTATGTATATAATAACTCTTATACTGTTTAAAATTTATCAAGCTCTATATAGTCATTATAGAATTAATATTTCAATTATAATTCTCATTCAGTTAAAACTACAAATACTACATATATTTCTCGTAATGTGAACGACGTTGAGGTTTTTGTTTTAATGCGATGTTACGAAAATAAATGTTAGATAATCATGTAATAGAATATAGGTATGTTGGCTTTTTGTCTTCTAATGGGCCATATTTTTTTTTTGATATGGTATATGAATTAAAATTGGCTTTGGAATAATTCAATAATTTTTAATTTTATCTAATTATTTATTGAAAGTGATGAACATATTTTTAAATAAAATAAAGTGAGTGACAATTTACTATTATTTGCATTTAAAAAATGATGTCAAGTCCTTTGTCTTGAGAATCATCTTAATTTAAATTCCTTAGGACAAAACTGCAAAAGATTGGGTTTTTCTTTTTCAGCAAAACAATTTTTTCGGTTTAAAATTTTTAAAAAAACTATATATTAAAAATTCTTCACATCCCATACCCTCACCTGTCATCACATAGTAAAAGATTTTATATGCAAATATGGAAACAAAAAAATTTAATAATTTTAATTTATTTTAAAGGTTCTACGTCCTGAAAATTCCTGTAATTGGACTCTGCAAATCAAATATCCTCAGCCGCGCGATTCTGGCATTTATGAATGTCAAATAAACACGGAGCCAAAAATGTCCTTGTCATATATTTTCAATGTAATCGGTAAGTACAATAAAAAACATTTCAACTCATTTAATATTTTGTGCTTTTTTTTTGTTTTGTTGGTATTTTGGCATTGTTGCCTTTCTCTAAAAAATAATTTAACTAAAAAGCAGCTTATTTGATTACGGCAAGCAAGCAAACAAGCATTCGAATAAAACGAAGGCATTACATAAATAAACAAAATATTTGCATACATTTAGGCACTCTAACACACGCACTTCGTGTATATTTCGCATATTTGCTCACACCAATAATCCAAGTTCTGTTGACATCTGATAAGTAAAAAGGAACTCATTTACCCACATACGTACGCTCCTTAGTCGAGGATTTGAATACAAAGCAAAAGGCGAAATTACATTCGCCATTAGGCGCAATATGTTGGGAATTTGAAATGTCTTAAGTGAATTTTTATGAAGGTGTAGCACGACTGCGGGAATTGAGCGCCTTTTGGGTGTATTAAATTTCATATGAGAATTACTGTAGGTACACGGGTATAAATTTACTTCTTTTACGTGCAGCAAATTTTTCTTCTTTCTGTATAGTTTATTTAATTTTTTTTTTTGTACTCCTTATTTTCTTAAGTTTCTGAAATTACAAAATGTTTGCTTTCTTTTTGAGAGAAAGGGTTTCGGGTTAAGATTATCTCATCATGCAGACACACGTGTTTAGTCAATATTGTTGTTACTCCGAAAGAACAAAGCAATATAGGCCAGATGAATGGAAAAGTTTTAGTAAAATGAGAATGAGGTACAAACTGAATTTTGAACATTATTTAATATGGATTAACACAGCTGTTGTGCTTAGAGAAGTGCTTTATCTTAGGTATAAATAAAATCATACCAAAAGGTCGAAAGAAAATAATTAAAAATAACCATTATTTACAAATTTTAAGACCATAATTATTGAGATTTATGCTATAAAATATAAATATCTGGATACAAGACTTGTTTAAGTACTTGTGATCTTGTACTACAGGGTTAAGCGTTTAAAACGTTACCAACTATACTATATAGTATATCTGTCAAACTAATATGACGGCTGTTTATATTATTTACAAGCATTTGCGTTGAAGTCTTATAGAACCAAAGTTATTTGAAATGAAATTCAAACGTAATAGTATGATCATATTATATTTAGCTGGAATATCACAATCACAACCATATATTATTCGTGAGCTCAAACAACTAATAGTGAATAAAATGTATACGAGGGTTGCTATATCTATTTCTGGCATAGGCAACACCTAAGTGGCAACACTAAAAAATGCAATTAAGGCGTGAACATTTTCGTGCAATCATTTTTCACAACTTTCGATGTGGATTATCACGACAAGAGTGCATTGATGAATTTAAATCTTTGTATGGCGATGAAGCACCATTCTATAGCACTGTAAAAAACTAGTTTAATGAATTCAATCGGGACCGACGCTCGCTCAACGACGAATTCCGTGATGGTCGTCCAAAAACAGCCGTTGCGCCAGAGAACATGCCGTGCGTGAACTGATAATGCAAGATCGTCATCCTTGGGCATTTCTCCCACCAGCATACATTTGATATTGCACGAACACCTGGCCGTAAAAAAGATTTGTTCTCGTTGCATCCCGCACAATTTAATAATCGCATGAAAAAAAATGTTCATGTCTATGGATGCAAAGAAATGTTGAAAAACTATGTTCGCGGTGCTTCAAAAGACGTTTATAAGATCGTCCCAGGTGACGAATCATGAACTTATGCGTATGAGCCCGAAACAAAACAACAATTGACCGTGTGGGTCTTCGAAGACTAGCCAAATCCAACGAAAGTTGTTCGTGAAGCAAATTGTCGCTTCCTTCTTCGGCAAAACTGGTCACGTGGCGACTATTCCGCTTGAGCAACGAAGGACAGTCACTTCTGAATGGTACACCACAATATGTTTGCATCAAATCTTCGGAGAAATTCGAAAAACGAATAAGATAAGGCGAATCATTGTTCATCATGACAACGCGAGCTCTCACAAATCGGCTCAAATCAGCGCCTTTTTGACCGGCCAAAGCGTCGAATTGATAGGTCGTCCGCCGTACAGCCATGACTTCGTACAGCACCCAATGACTCCTTTTTATTCCCGCACATTAAGAAAAAAATGCGTGCTCAACGATTTTCGTAGCCAGAAGATGCTGTTGAAGCGTTCAAAAACCATGCTTTGGAGGTGTTTCAATCGGAGTGGAAAAAGTGCTGCGACAATTGGTTTGCGCGCATGCAAAAGTGCATAAATCAGTCCGGAGAATACTTTGAAAAACAATAAAAATATTTTTGATGATAAATATTCGCATTTTCATTATTAGGCCAGAAGTATATATAGCAGCCCTTGTAATACTCATTATAGCATGTAGTAAAACAATAATATATACTACAGAATACCTGAAACATTTGGAACTTATCTATAATGAGATTATGAGTATAAAATTGTCATCATATGAATATAACATACAATTATTTATTACTTGAATAGTTTCAGATTTGAACAATTTAGCAAATAAGACTATATCTATTCATATCAAACAATATTTATTTATATATTTAGTTTACATGAAAAAGTTTCAAATAGTCTTGATAGGTGATTTTTGAAGTGAATAAGTATATGTCGCTATGTGTTCCAATTATGGAAAATAAATATGGAGAAATATTTTTATGGAAGTTGTTATTAAATTTGATTTTAACGTCTGTTCTGACGGCGTTGACTAGAGGTTTCGAAAAGTAGTAAACTACAACAACAAAAGTTCTTTTTTGTATTATTGAATTTATCGAATTTTTGGGCTGACTATATAGCTGTTTCGAGCATTACCAAATACCCATTATCAGTGGTCTTGGATGTACTTCTTGTATTTATTAATTCTTAAATAGTTTTTTTGAGACTGGAAGTACTAAGGGTTGCACTCGTTCCCTGCCAAATTTGAATCTCAGAGTCCAGAGTCCGCGTTAATTTCAAATTCTATATAGAAATTGCTTTCATCATTGGCTGCGGATTTGTATTCAAAGTGAATAGTTGGCATACTCGTACTAATAACTTATTGCGCTTAAAAATTTTTCAAATCTTACCTCATAAATGCATAGGAAATATTGTAAACTTAAGAGATAATACTAATATGTAACATTTTCGTTTATGAATATATAAAGGAATTTTATATAAAATGTTTGAAGTTCGTTACATCCAATTAATATTAGACAAGATTTTTATTATGCATTTTATATCAGACAAATATTTTAAACGCATTAATGGGAACTAATTGTTTTATACTTCAACCCAAGTTTAGTAATTTTCACTATATTTTTCTAATTCTTATTATTCTTATAATTCTTATAATTCTTATTAATAACTTAAATAACTCTTAAATATAACTTAGCGTGAAATATGCAAACTATAGAAATCCACTTGTATACCCAAGTATTGGGTAGCTACCTGAATAAATATTAAGAGCTGTCGGGGTGGTACCTTTACTGCTTTGCAGAATATAAATAACAACAACAATTGTTGTGGATAATATTTCCAGGAAAATATTCAAGGTATAGGTATTTTTGCCCTAAAAAGAATTATTGGAATTATATGAACTTAAAGAGACATTATGACCAAAGCATATATTTTTATACCTGTTCAATTGACCTTAGTTTTTTAAATTTAAATAAAAAAATTATCATATAAAAGCGCATCATAATTCGGTAGGATGTGAATAAGAAAGTAACAAGCGAATGGTTAAGATCTCTATACCAATTTAATAAGGTGGAAGAAAAATTAATAAAAACTTTTATATATATCACACCGGATAATTTGATATACACTCGCCAATACATTTCATCCAACAATCGATTTAATATACGCAGATCAACAGTTCATCAAACAATCGATTTGATATTCGCAGATTAACACTTCATCTAACAAAGGACTACAGAACCAATCACAGAATGGAGCTACCAACTGAAGTACAACATGTATTATTTGACAAATTGTCGACACCGGAATTGAAGTCCCTGAGAAAGACTTGTAAGCAAATGCAGAAGTCCGTTGATAATTATATCCAGCATAAATGTGCCGTCAGAATAAGGAAGGGAGATGTATACTCCACTGTTTTTAAGTCCATTTACGATGTTGTGAATAAAGTAATTGACGATGAATCGGAGAAACACGCATTCATGTTGAATGTCGTTACCATAAACTGTGGCGAATTCTATTTTAATGACTTTCAAGATGTTAAACATGTGCTAGAGACATTAAAGTGTCGTCTACAAGATGGTAAAAAGGTGCAAATGACGAGTACACTGCGTGGTCAATATACGTACTATAACCTGACGGTGTTTAAAATAATTAATGAGCTTATGGAGAAGCTACCCCTTGAATTTATATTATTCAGAATTGGATCACTATTTGATAAAATCTTGGAGAAGCCCTGAATTATTTTACTATCTATATTTATATTGCTAACTAATTTGAGTTTGATTTTTTAAGAATTTTAAATTGCCAAAAAATGTGTTATTAACCTAAAATAAGATATACTATAATTGTAAAGAAATGCATATAAAAATTGTAAATGAAGTAATTATGCACTTCATTATACTCGCATGTACAGTAATTGTAAACTATTTTTTAATTATAATAAATATATAAATATTTCGGTATGCCATTTAAATCTGATTTTTTTTATTTTTGAAACTAGTTTGATTTCGAATAAGGGATTATGGATATCTAGATTTTGCATTCTAATTTTGTTAAGTCAACAATTTCAACAATCGGTTCTTTTATGTACATTTTTAATTTATTACTAAGTAAGTTTATTATTATGTATAATTATAATAAACCTTTATCGAAGTATATGGTGCGAAAATCAGTAGTTTATTATCATCGATTGGTAGTCAGTGAAATCTAAAAGGCTAAACTGCTAACTAATAAATATGAGTGGTTCTTCTATCCAAAATGTGAACGTTTCCCATAAGCGAGTGTCGACTCAAACACCTCAAACATGTGATCGGTGA